CCATTTAGGGAGTTAACAGTTTTGTTTTTGTCTTTTTCTCTAATGTTTTTTTCTGTATTGATTTTAGAGAGAGAGGAAGGGAGAGGGAGAGAGAGACAGAAATACCAATGAGAGAGAACATCAACTGGCCGCCTCCTGCACGCCCCACACTGGGGATCGGGCCCACAACCTGGGCATGTGCCCTGACCAGGAATCGAACCGGCAACCTCTTGGTGCATGTGTTGACGCTCAACCACTGAGCCACACCGGCCGGGCTTGTTTCTGTCTTTTTTTCCAAATGGCCAAAGGAAGTTCTACAACTTGGTGGGTATTGATGGAATGATGCATTGACTGATTTTTTTTTTTTCATCCTCACCCAAAGACATTTTTCCATTTTTTGTTCAGATAGAGTAGGAAGGAGAGAGAGGAAGAGAGAGAGAGAAACATCGATGTGAAAGGGACACATCGAGTGGCTGCCACCCGCACGACCCAACCAGGGCCGGAGACAAACTGCATCAGAGATATGTGCCCTTAGCAGGAACTGAACCCGGGTCTCTCTGGACCACAGGCCAACGCTCTAACCACTGAGCCGAATCGGCCAGGGCGATTTTTTTTTTAGGTTTTTTTTTTTTTAGAGAAAAAAATCGATTTGTTGTTCCACTTATATATGCATTCATTGGTCTATTCTTGAACATGCCCTAACTGGGGATCGAACCCAAAACCTTGGAGAATCTGTACAACGCTCCAACCAACTGAGCTACCTGGCCAGGGCCAGAGAGTTAAGATAGTTTTTGGAAGCTCTGGCCAGGAGCCAGGGACAATGACTACCATATATATTTATTATATCACAATATCACAGTCTAAATGTTGACTGTGGCAGGAGAGGGGTGAGTCTAGGGTTCTGATATCTCCTGCATTCAAAACTATTTTCTTTTTAATTGATTTTTAGAAAGAGAGGACGGGAGAGAGAGAGAAACATTGATCAGCTGCCTCCAGCATACCCCCTACTGGGGATTGAGCCAGACACCTGGGCATGTGCCCTGACCAGGAATCGAACCAGCAACCTTTCAAAAGGTGCATGGGAAGACCCCCAACCAACTGAACCACACCAGCCAGGGCTCAAAACTATTTTATAAAATGTATGTTTCATGCAACTTTGGGGGGATTTTGAAACCCTGTCTCTCAGAGGTGTGAGGCAGAGCCCCCTCCAGGCGGGGCCCAGCCTCCCTCCCTCTTCCCGGAAGAACAGTGTGGCACCTGCCCATGCTTGTTGAGGGATTAACAAGATGAGCTAGCAGGAGAGGCTGCTGCCGTGTCCCTGGAATCTCAAACTGCCGGGCGCCAGCCTCTCAGCCCCCCAATGCTGGGGCCGCTTGCTCTAGATCTGATGGGTGGTCGGGCTCCTGGAGGACATCCGGCTGGCGGCCGGTCTGAGAAACCAGCTCCCGCCTCCCTGTGGCAGCCAGGCTGTGGGTGTGCCCAAGGCCGTCCAGGATGTGTCCTGTGGAGGGAGTGTTGGAAGAGCGGGACTCGGGGAAGGGGCAGGGGAGCCAGGGCCTCAGGGCAGAGAAAACAGTGTGAGGTGGGTTCCTTAGAAACTTTGGGCTTCACCCCGCCCCCAATATAATCCTCTTTTAAGTTTTCTTCACAACCTCGAGGAGCTAGAGCCCAGGCCCAGAGGTAAGAGGAGGGCAGTGAGCCCAGGGGAGGGCGGCCGGGTCACCCCCATCCTGCATAGACATCGGCCGATCATCTGTGCAGGGAGGTTGTGGCCAGACAGGGTGGCCCAGAGCCCGTGGCCTTGGTTTCATTAGGCTGACATGATTCAGTGGAGCAGTGACCAGAAAGTCTTCCAATTATGTGGTCCTTCCAAGTATTTTGAATCACAAATGCTTGACTAAGAACCTCCATCAACAACTACCCATCCAAATTTATCATCTAGAAGTTCCATGATCTCTCATTAGAGGGGAAAACCTAATAATTATGGAAAATAGCTCTCCTTGATGTTTCCATAATTGTTTCTTTCTCAGAAAGTCACTTTGTTTTCAAACATCAGTTTCCCAGGAGGGAGCCCTAACCTCCCCCCCCAGACCTCCTCTCAGAAATGCCCCCCTGGGGTGGATAGTACATCCCAAGGGCTAGGCAGAGGCCAGTCTAATAGTCATTTTGTTTTCATTTTTTAATTTAATACTACTATTTGAATAGGTGCTAGATCACATGGTTTAAAAATCACAATAATTTGAGATGTACCTGTCTCACCGGGTCTCTCTCCATTCCCATCCATCTTGTTCCTCAGCTCACCCCCAGGATAACCCCTTTTTTAGCTTGGTTCACATCCTTCTGGCATCTTCTTAGATAAATGCAAATATATACCCTATTTCCCTCTGTACACAGCAGGTTGCCTCTGCAGAGCTGGTTCTGCGGGCTCCTTGCTTGACCGACCACAGATCCCGGTGGGGATATCTCTTAGAGACCCTGAATGTTCCCCGAGTCCCCGCATGAATGCAGAAGCTAATTCAACCAGTTCCCTAGAGAGACACTGGCTGTTTACAGAAGGTTTAACGATCTATAGATCATAGATTGGGGCACACACGCAAATTAAAACCACACTGAGGCCGCATTTTACCCCTGCCAAGGGTAAAGGCTCTGCCAGGCGCCCTCCAGGGCTGTCCCTTAGCAGCCTGGCCTGTGATGGACGAGAGACCTGTGTCCCCAGATGTCACATGGTTGGAATTTTGCCCATCTAGTAGGTGAAGTTATACTGCAGCGTGGTTTTGTTTGCATAGTTAGGATGAATATCTCTTGTGTGTTTTTTTTTCTGACAACTGTATGCTTCTGACCTCTTACCCATTTTCTATTGGGTTATTGGTCTTTTCTCAGTTTTTAGAAAATCTCCCCGTGTGGGGGAGATCAAATTACAAATACTTTACTGCAACCCAAGTACGTGCCCTTAGCGGGAACCGAACCGGGGTCTCTCTGGACCGCAGGCCGATGCTCTCACCGCTAAGCCAAAGTGGCCAGGGCTATCTTTCTTTTTTTAAAAATCTTTATTTATTTACTTATTTTTATCCTCACCCAAGGACGTTTTTACATTTATCTTCAGATAGAGCAGGAGAGAGAGAAACATCGATGTGAGTGAGACACATCAAGTGGTTGCCACCCACATGACCCCAACTGGGGCCAGGGACAAAGTGCAACCGAGGTACGTGCCCTTAGCGGAAACCGAACCCAGGACTCTGGTCTGTGGGCCGACGCTCTAACTGCTGAGCCAAACTGGCCAGGGCTGTCGTTTATCTTTTGACTTTGCTTTGAGTGTTCATTTTCTTGCAATGCAGAATTTTTCAATGTAATTGAATATATGTCTTTTTCATAGCACCTGCATTTTGAATCATAGTTTAAAGCTTACTTTTGGCTCTAATACTGTTTGAGGTTGAGGGTTTGCATTTAAATATTTGCTACATTGGGTATTTATCCAACGCACAGGGTGAGGTTTGGATCCTCCTTTGTCTTTTGCAGATGTCCCTTTGGTGCCTTACACCAGGTTTTCAGAGTCTGTCTCTGCCCTCGTCACTGTGAGGGGCTGCTGGCCACATCATACCCCACCTGCCCATCTCTGCTGGGTCTGCCTCTGGACCTGTGTCCTTCTGTGGGCCTGGCTGTCTGTCACCTACAGGCCCTGCACAGTTTAAATTATTGAGGCTCCAAGTGTGGTTTACTCTCTGCAGGACAGTCTCCTGTTCATGGCTCTTTTGTCAGAGTTTTCCTGCTATTCTTGCTTGTTTATTTTTCCATATGAACTCGAGAACTGGGTAGTTTACTTCTCCAAAAACATCTTGTTGGTATACCATGTTTAACTAAGAATGGTAATAGTAATAGTAATAACAGTACTCACGTGCCCCTCACCCAGCTGAACAATAGAACAGCACCCATCCCTTTGAATCCTGTCCCCCACCCACACCCAGAGGTGAACATCTGTTTATTCACTCAAGAGCTTTTGAGCGCCTGCTATGTGGTAGGTTCTGGGGGCCCAGCTGTGAATAAAAGAGCAAACCCTTTGTCCTTCTGGAAGCTCTGTTCTAGCAGAGGAAGGCAGCAGAGTGGGTTAGAAAGTGGTGAGTGTTACGGAGGAAAATAAACCAGAGGGGATGGAGAGGCCACGGGGAGATGGCTGCGATGTTAAATGAGAGGCCTGGCCCTGGCCTGTGTGACTCACTTGGTTAGGCATCATCCCCGTGCACCGGGAGGTAACTAGTTCGATTCCCAGTCAAGGGCACATGCCCGGGTTTTGGGCTGGATCCCCAGTGTGGGGCATGCAGGAGTGGCCAATCGACGTTTACTCTCACATCAATGTTTCTCCCTCTCCCTTCTTCTCTATCTAAAAATCAATAAACTCTTCTTTTTTTTTCTTTATCCTCACCTGAGGATATTTTTTGTATTTATCTTCAGATAGAGTGGGATGGAGAGAGGGAGGAAGAGAGAGAGAAACATTGATGTGAGAGAGACACATCAATTGGTTGCCACCCACACGACCCCGACCAGGGCCGGGACAAACTGCAACCAAGGTACATGCCCTTAGCAGGAACCAAACCTGGGACTCTCTGGTCCATGGGCTGACACTCTAACTGCTGAACAAAACCAGCCAGGGCAATAAACTATTCTTTAAAAAAAATCTTGCCGGTCCGGTGTGGCTCAGTGGTAGAGTGTCGACCCATGCACCAAGAGGTCGCCGGTTTGATTCCTGTTCAAAGCACATGCCCAGGTTGTGGGTCCGATCCCCAGTGGGGCATGCAGGAGGCAGCCAATCGATGTTCTCTCTCATCGATATTTTTATCTCTCTTTCCCTCTCCCTTCCTCTTTCTCTAAAATCAACTAAATGAAGCCCTGGCTGGTTTGGCTCAGTGGTTGGAGCGTTGGCCTGTGGACCAGAGAGTCCCGAGTTCAGTTCCCACTAGGGGCACATACCAATAAAAAAAAAAAACTTAAAAAATAAAATAAAGTCAACTAAGTAGATAAATACCTGCATAATCACTGGAAGGCTCAGAGAACTCCAAGGTCAGGTCGGGTAGCTGTTCCTGCCTCCATCCTTCTGCGCTGTCCTCTGGGCCCTGTGGCCCGCATCTGTCCATGGCCGGGTGGCTGTGGACAAGCTCTGCCCCAGCTGAACCCCCAGGAGGATGTCAGGGATGGTCCCTGCCAGTGCAGGCTGAAGAATGAGCCCTGGCGAGAAGGGCCCAGGGTCCCGGGGAAGCTGAGATGAGGCCCCTCGCCCTGATCATGTGTGGTTCCCTTCCAGGGCTGGTGCTGAACAGAGACCGGAGGATCGCCCGGGTGAGTGCGGCTGTCTTCCTGCTTCCTTCCCGGCAGCCTGCCAGCCTCTTTCTTCTCCTTTTATTGTGCTAAAGTATACATAGCGTGCTCTTTACCATTTTCCAACCACCTGTGAGGGTACAATTCAGTGGCACTAAACACATTCACGATGTTGTGCAACCATCACCACCCCAACATTTTACATCATCCCCAATATACACTCCTTACCCAGTAAACACTAACTCCCCTCCCCCTCCTCTAGCCTCCGGCAACCCCCATCCTGTTTTCTGTCCCTGAATTTGACAACTCTAGGGACCTTATGTAAGTGGACTCATGCAATGTGTGGCCTTTGTGTCTGGCTCGTTTCACTTAGATCACATTTTCAAGGTTTATCCCTGTTGTATCATGTGTCCGAATTCACTCCTTTTTTTTATCCTCACCCGAGGACATTTTTCCATTTTTGTTCAGATAGAGTGGGAGGGAGACAGAGAGAGGGAGAGAGAAACCTCCACGTGAAAGGGATACATTGAGTGGCTGCCTCCCATACAACCCCCACGGGGGCCGGGGACAAACTGCAACCGAGGTACGTGCCCTTAGCAGGAACCGAACCTGGGTCTCCCTGGACTGCAGGCCGACACTCTAACCGCTGAGCCAAACCTGCCAGGGCCAGAGCCAGAATTCATTCCTGTTGTGGCTGAATAATACCCGTTGCGTAACTATTCCACTCATCCGTTGATGGACGCTGTTTCACCCTTTGGCTATTGTGAATACTTACTGCTGCTGGGAACATGGGTACGCAAAAACTGGTTCGAGTCCCTCTTTCAATTCTTTGGTATGCAGACCTAGGAGTGGAATTGCTGGATCCCATGAGAATCCTATGTTTAACCTTTTGAGAAACCACCAGACTTTTCCACAGCGGCTGCACCCTTTTGCCAGCAGCGTGCAAGGGTTCCAGTTTCTCCACGTCCGTGGTAGCACTTGTTATTGTCTGTTTTCGTTTTAGCCGTCCTATTGGGTGTGCAGTGATGTCTGGTCTCTTCTGAATCATTGGTCTCCTTATGTCCAGGGCTGGGGGCGAGGGAGAGGATCCACCAACCAGCAGTTTCCCGAAGTCAAGCTGTGTCCCAAATGGGGCTGGCAGGGGAGGGGCACAGGGACCGCTCCCCATTTCTCCGGGCGCCTCTGTGTGTGTGCTCACAATCCCCTGCGGCCCTGGAGACAGAGACTGTCCTTACCCCCGTTTTACAGACAAGGAAACTAAGATGAGGCAGCACAGCCAGTGAGGGCTGCACACCCAGGGAACAATCTAAAAACAAACCACCATGGCACACAGGTGCCCACAGAGCAAACCGTAAAAGTCAGCCCACCATTGCCAGGCGCAGGCAGACTTGCAGTCCTGTGTGCCGTTGTGCACATGTGTGTAGAGACCGGGACTGGTTTTAGGGCTGTCTTCTTTGTCATGTTTAAGTCTCTACTACATGGCCACAAACGCTTAACTGGATTAGCTGCGCGTGCAGTGGCGGCCGGAAGCGCCTGGCAGCTGGGGGCGCGGTCAGGAGTTCCTCAGGTGCTGGGACTTGTGCTGGGCCCAGGGTGCTGGGATCAAGGTGAGTCGAGAAAGGAAAGACATTCCAAGTACTTGCTGCTGCAGGTCAAGTCTTGGAGTTTGTCTGTGGGGGCGGAGGGTCCTTCAGTGAAGACCAAAAGGGGAGGGGGCAGGATAACAAAAGGCCTTAAAAACCAGCCACCAGTTCTGGCCAGTTTGGCTCAGCGGTTAGAGCGTCAGCCTGCGGTCCAGAGAGACCCGGGTTCGGTTCCCGCTAAGGGCGCGTGCCTCGGTTGCAGTTTGTCCCCGGCCCTGGTTGGGTCGTGCGGGTGGCAACCGCTCGATGTGTCCCTTTCAGGTCGATGTTTCTCTCTCTCCCTCCCACTCTATCTGAACAAAATATGGAAAAATGTCCTCAGGTGAGGATTAAAAAATAAAAATAAATTAAAAATTAAAAAAAAAAACCCAGCCACCAGTCTGGAAGTGTGTGACAAGGGCACTTGTAGAAACTGGGCTCTGTCTCTGTCATGGAAGTGGTGTGACCTTGGGCAAGGCACCTACCCTCCCTCAGCCTCAGCTGACTTTCGTGCAGAAAGAACGTGCACCCCTTCACGTACCCATCATTCATTCATGCTGACAGTTAGTGCGCAGCCTCTGGGTTGCTGTGAAGACTGGCCCAGGTCGCTGCGTGGCTTGGCACAGTGCCGTCTCTTCTGGCGTCACAGACGGTGCTCCTGCCGAAGGTGGTCAAGAGGGCGAAATGCTCTGCACTGGGAGACACTGTCGCCAGAGGGGGAAGCTCTGGCCTCAGACAGACCACCAGAAGCTGCTGCCCAGGCCCAGGCTTGGGCCTGAGGCCTGGACCAGGGTATCAGCAAGGGCACAAGAATGCCAGTTTTGTTTTTGATCCAACAGGGATTTGTCCTCAAGAATGGTATGACGCCCTGGCCCGTTTGGCTCAGTGGTTGGAGCATTGGCCTGTGGACCACAGAGTCCCGGGTTCAGTTCCTGCTAGGGGCACGTACAAAAAAAAAAGAATGGTATGGGGCGGGCCCTGGCCGGTTTGGCTCGGTGATTAGAGCATCAGCCCGCAGACCAGAGAGTCCCGGGTTCGGGTCCTGCTAAAAAAAAAAGAATGGTGTGAGGTGGGATCATATGTCATCAGTTTTGCTCAAATAAACTCTTCCTTTTTTTTTTTATCCTCACCCGAGGACACTTTTGCATGTATCTTCAGATAGAGCGGGAGGGAGAATGGGGGAAGAGAGAGAGAATAATATTGACGTGAGAGAGACACATTAACTGGCTGCCACCCACACGATCCCAACCAGGGCCGGGGACAAACTGCAACCGAGGTACGTGCCCTTAGCGGGAACTGAACCTGGGACTCTCCAGTCCGTGGGCCAAGGCTCCAACTGCTGTGCCAAACTGGCCAGGGCTTTTTTTTTTTTTAAATGGTGTGAGGTAGGTATCCATTTCGTTTTTCCCAGATGAACAACCAGTTGGGCCACCACCCGTTACAAATGGTCCTCCTAACCACCGAGGCGCACTCGCTGTGGTTTGTCTACTGCGTGCTGATCCTTGGGCTGGGACCTGTTGCTAGACCACATTCGATGGTGTCCTGGGGGTCCCAGTTGGAAAAGCTTTACTCCAAAGAGAGTGCTCCTGGCTGGTCACCTGGCCTGAGCCATGTCACTGTCCAGGCAGCAGTAGTCAGGGTGGGGGTGGGGAGCACTCTGGGCTGCCCCAGAACACAGGTTGGTTGGGTTTTGGGGGGGCATTTGGAGATGCCCCTTACATCTCCTGGGGATTATGGTCAACCACAGCGCCCACATATATAATTGAGGGTAAGCTGGAGAGCCCCAGTCCTGGCAGGAGGTGGTATGAAAGGAGGCTGAGAAGCCGGGGAGGGGGAGGGGCAGACAGCCAGGCTGGGAGCCCACCTGAGCTGAGTCCTGGCGCCATCTCCTGTTAGCTGTTGACCGGGAGTCACTCAGCCTTTCCAATCTTCCCTCAAGCCCTTCCATTTTTTTATATATGTTTTGATTTTTAATTTATTTTTTAATCCTCACCCGAGGTTATTTTCTCAAATATCTTCAGATAGAGTTGAGAGCGCGGGAGAAAAGAGAGAGAAAGAGAGAGAGAAACATCAATGTGAGAGAGACACATCAACTGATTGCCTCCCGCACGACCCTGACCAGGGCTGGGAACGAACCGCAACCCAGGTCTGTGCCCTTGGCCAGAATCGAGCCCGCAACTCTGCTCCACAGGCTGACACTCAACTGCTGAGCTAAACTAGCCAGGGCTATTTATTTTTTAAATATATTTTTTATTGATTTTTTTAGAGAGAGTGGAAGGGATAGAGAGATAGAAACGTCCATGTGAGAGAGAAACATGGATCGGCTGCCTCCTGCACGCCCCCTACTGGGGTTTGAGCCCATAACCTGGGCATGTGCCCTGACCAGGAATTGAACTGGGACCTTAGTCCATGGGACGACACTCAATCCACTGAGCCACACCTGCTGAAGCCCTTCCATTTAAATGTGTGCAGGTGAGCCCCTCCCACCTGCAGCACCCACCTCGGTCTGGTCTCCTCAAGTTGGGCTCTCTGCCTTGGGAGGAGGTCACATGGGTAACTGGTGGCATGTCCAGGTCCTCGGTAAATCTTGGTCCTTCTGACCTTGTGGATATGGGAACCTGTTTGTGGAAAAGCACCAAAGGTCATTTTAGCCTGAAGAGTGGGACATGGCTGGGAGGGGGTCCAGGCAGAGCAAGGGCAGTGTTTTCCTGGCTGTGACCAGCTAGGTCTGTGTGCATGTTCATCGGATTTTGTTTTTTAATTTTTTTTCTTTATTAATTTGAGAGAGAGAGAAAGGGGGGGGGATATAGAAACATCGACGAGAGAGAACATCGATTGGCCGCCTCCTGCTTGCCCCCTACTGGGGATCGGGCCCACAAACTGGGCATGTGCCCTGACCAGGAATCGAACTGGTGACCTCTCTGTGCATGGGTCAACGCTCAACCACTGAGCCACACTGGCTGGGCGATTTTTTCTTTTTGTTTTTTAATCCTCACCCAAGGATATTTTTACATTTATCATCAGATAGAGTGCGAGGGAGACAGACAGAGAAACCAGGGCTGGGGACGAACCGCAGCCGAGTTACGTTCCCTTGACTGGAATCAAGCCTGCAACTCTGGCCCGCAGGCCAACGCTCTCACCGCTGAGCCAAACCGGCCAGGGCATGTTTATCTGTGTTCACCACCGTGGCATAGGAGTATTGGGCTTGACTTAACAGTCAGTCCTTATGGGAGCTTGAATTAATCCACTGAACACACATTTATCCTCTGTCAGGCTGTGAGCTGAGCTCCAGACAGAAAAAACCCTCGGGCCCTCAGAGGGTTCTCAGTCTGAGCAGCACAGCCCGACAGAAGTCATGGGAGCCTCGTGTAATTCTACCTCTCCAGTAGCCATACTAAGAAGAAACAGGTGCAATGAAGTTCAATATTTTAAACTCACTGTATCCAAGATGCTGTCATTTCAGCCTATAATCAATATAAAACCTTATTAAGACAGCTGACATTGTTTCGTACTAAGTCTTCAAAATCCAGTGTGTGATTTACACAAGTGTGTCCCAATTTGCACCAGCTCCTCTCCAAACTCCAGTGGTCACCATGTGGCCGATGGTTACCACGGGGCAGCACACACCTAGATGTCATAAATGGTCATAAGACAGAGTGGTCAGGGCTGTTGGAGGCCAGCAGGGGGCATGGGGACAGCAACGTGTGCTCACTCTGCACTGTGTCTTAAGCAAATTTCTCATGGCAACTGTCTGAGCAGGTAGGTGGGCTGTGCTTGGCAGAGACCAGGGCCAGGCTGGCTGGGCAGCACTGCAGGACAGCCTGTGGACCAGGAAAGGGGTGTGGAAGGGCCACCCCAAGACCTAAAATCTAGGTCCAGAAGTAACCTAGGCTACTTCTCTGCATTGCTGCATGGCCACACCTGGCTGTAAGGGAGTCTGGGAAATTGTGTCTGGATGGGCAGCCAGGCGTCCACAAAGAGGGAGAACAGATTTAGGAGGAACAGCCTCTGGCCTGTGGCACCTGGAGGCCTCTGTCGAGGAGGTGATGTGGTTAGGCACTGGGCTCCGCCCCACCAGGCTCCCCAAGCCCTCGAGAGACGAGACGGGCTTCACACCTACAGCGGTGCCCAGTGGGGAGCATTCACTATGGCTTTGGCCAGTGTGGCTCGGTTGGTTGGAGCATCATTCTGTGCACTGAAGGGTTCTGAGTTCAATCCCGTCAGGGCGCGTATGGGAGGCAACCCATCAATGTTTCTCTCTCACATTGATGTTTCCCTCTCCCTCTCCCTCACTCTCTCTCAAATAAATAAGTAAATAAAATATTTTTTTAAAGAAACATATCCTTGCCCTGGTCAGTTTGGCTCAGCGGTTAGAGCGTCAGCCTGCGGTCCCGAGAGACCCGGGTTCGGTTCCCGCTGAGGGCATGTACCTCGGTTGCAGTTTGTCCCCGGCCCTGGTTGGTCGTGCGGGTGGCAGCCACTCGATGTGTCCCTTTCACATCGATGTTTCTCTCTCTCTCTTCCTGTCTCTCCCTCCCACTCTATCTGAACAAAAAATGGAAAAATGTCCTCAGGTGAGGATAAAAAAAATAAATATAATAAAAAAACATATCCTCGCCCTGGCCGGTTTGGCTCAGCAGTTAGATCATCGGCCTGCGGTCCGGAGAGACCCGGGTTTGGTTCCCGCTAAGGGCACGTACTTCGGTTGCAGTTTGTCCCCGGCCCTGGTTGGTCGTGCGGTGGCGGCCACTCGATGTGTCCCTTCACGTCGATGTTTCTCTCTCTCTGTCTCTTCCTCTCTCTCCCTCCCACTCTATCTGTACAAAAAATGGAAAAATGTCCTCGGGTGAGGATAAAAAACAAAACAAAAAAATAACATATTCTCAGGTGAAGATTAAAAAAAAAAGATTGCCCTGCCGGTGTGGCTCTGTGGACTGAGCATCATCCCAGGCACCCAGAGGTCATTGGTTCTATTCCTGGAGGGCACAGCCCAGGTTTTGGACTCGATCTCCAGTAGGGGGTGTATGGGAAGCAGTGGGTCGATGTTCCTATCTCTCCCTCTCCCACTTCCCTCTCCAAAAATTCAATAAAAACACTTTAAAAAGTTTTTTTTCTTTATTGATTTTTAGAGAGAGAAGAAGGGAGAGTAAGAGATAGAAACATCAATGAGAGAGAACATCAATTGGCCGCCTCCTGCATGCACCCCACTGGGGTCGGGCCCACAACCTGGGCATGTGCCCTGACCTGGAGTCGAACCGGTGACCTCTTGGTACATGGGCTGATGCTCAACCACTGAGCCACACTGGCTGGGTGATAAGAACACTTTTTTAAATTTAAAAAAGAATTCACTATGGTTTTTGTCTCTGCAGCCAGAGCACAGCTTCGAATTCATCAGCAGAGAGCTGTGTGTATGCTCCATCAAGAAGCTGCAGGCCTCCATCCTGCTAATCAAGTAAGTCTGAACCCACACCAGGGCTGAGCCGTGAGCTTCCTGGTGTGAGGTTCCCAGCTCTCCCACTGCGAGACCACACCATCTTTCTTGGGAAGCCTCCAGCTGCTGGCACATGGAAGGCAGGCAAAGCAACTGGAGGGCTTGGGAGCAGAGGTTGGGGCAAGGACTACACACCTTTCAACAGGTGACTATGGAGGGCACCCCCACCCTCCAGCCACCACAGACCCCTCCCTTTCCCAGGGTCATGTGGTTCCTCCATCTGCCTTTCTCCCCCATGCCAGCACCCAGCCATTAGTAGTTCCATTGCCTCAGGGTCCCACAGCAGTGACCATCCTTTAATGTGACTGAGATGCCACGCCCCCTCCACTGCAGCTGTCCTGGACCATCCATGCCCAAGGCAGGATCTGTGACTTCCGGGGACACATGTGTGTGCCTGGTGCTGAGCAAAGGGTTTAGAACTCATGACATGCAAATCCACACCACTGCACACCCACCAGGACGGCAGTGTCAGTGGGCAGGGTGGGGAGAAGCCGGAGCCCTCACACAGGACTGTAAAGTGGTACAGCCACTTTGGCAAACAGTCTGGCAGTGTCTCGGGCCATTAAGGCACCATTATGACCCCCCTGGCTCAGCAGTTCTACTGCTGGGTATAGACCCAGTAGTCAGGTCCACACAACTTGTATCAGGTGTGGAAGGTCTGGCCCGCGGGCAATCAATACCAGCTAACATCACACGCCTCACCAAATTAGCCTGACCAAATATAGCAGGCTAATTTTTAAGCTGACAATTTTGTTTGGCCTGCGAATGTTATAAATATCCAAATGGCCCTTGACAGAAAAAGGTTCCCCACGGTACACGACGGTTCAGAGCAGCACTACTAACCCAAATGCCCGTCTACGCACAAACAAGCAAAAAGTGGTCCATCCACACCGTGGACTACTTTCAGCCATAAGAAGGAAGGAAGCACTGACACCAGCTACATGGACAAGCCTTGAAAACATGTCAGTGAGAAGCCAGCCTCGGAGTCCCCACGCCATGGGATTCCATTCCCACACAAGTCGAAGCAGGGAAATCGACGGGCAGAACGTCACTAGCGGCCACGTTAAGACTAGCAGCTGAGTGTTCGAAGAGAGAACACAGGTTTAAGAATTCTCTCGAGTTTTGATGAAAAGGCACTAAAATTGACTAGTAATGGTTGCACAACTGCATATATTAAAAATCATAGTTAGCCCGGCCCGTGTGGCTCAGTGGTTGAGCGTCAACCCATGCATCAACAGGTCACCGGTTCAATTCCCGGTCAAGGTACATGCCCAGGTTGTGGGCCTGTTACCAAGTGGGGGGGCATGTAGGAGGTGGCCAAACGATGTTCCCTCATCATCGATGTTTCTCTCTCCCTTCCTCTTTCTCCAAAATCAATAAAGGAAAAAAAAATCATGGAACTATACATTTAAAATGGGTGCGATTATCTCAGTAAAGCTATTTTTTTAAAAATATTTTTTCTTCATTGTTTTTAGAGGGAGAGGGAGAACTAGAAACATCCATGAGAGAGAACATCAACTGGCCGCCTTCTGCATGCCCCCCCACCTGGGATCGGGCCCACAATCTGGGCATGTGCCCTGATCAGGAATCAAACTGGCGACCTCTTGGCTGCTGCATGGGTCGACGCTCAACCAGAGCCACACCAGCCGGGCTCAGTAAAGCTATTTTTTTAAAAAGAAAGAAAAGGCATGGATTCCAGCAATTACTGGCTCTGCCACTCAGTAGCAGTGACTGCGGGGGTACCAGGATTCCAAGTGCATGTGGGTACCCCGTGGCTGAATCTCGAATTAAACCTGAGCTACGGGACCCAGCTGTGGGCCAGTCGGAAGCCAGGCCAGGCCAGGCCAGGGTGGAGGGCGCTGCCCGAAGCGAACCTGAAATGAACCATGGTCTCTTGTTTTCCAGAGCAATCGAAGGATATCATGATGTGAGGAGAGAGAATGATGCTGACAAGGGGCCCATGCTTTTCATTATTGACCAGTTGAAATCTGTCCTAAATGAGGTAGGTGTGGGGTTCACAGTAGCTGGGGTCTAGAGGTGGCATTTCTTTTCTTACAGAGACCCCTGGTCTGGCTCAGCCCCAAGTCTAACCAGTGAGCCCCAGGAACTACCAGACCTCACTCCCAGCTGTGGTCACATGTAAATCAGCACAGGAATAGATTGTTCATTGAAAGACTCGACCAATTTTATTGTCCTCATACCCACCGGGCCAAGCCCTACTCAGCCAAAGGTCATCCCACAATTTTCCCAAATGGGAACAGGTGGCTAGTCCCTCCACTGGGTGCTGGCTGCAGGTGGGGGTGGGCCTCCAAGGTGGAGAGCTGGGACTTGTCCATGGGGAGCACCTGGCATGTCAGGATCATCAGCCACCATGAACCCCGACCTAGGGCCTCTGCAGACACCCTGGTGCCCTCACGAGAGGGAAGCCTGTGTGGCTGGCCAGCCAACAGGTGGTGCCTTCCCACCTTGCTGGCCTTCCTCCCAGGCAGGAGCGGGAGTGAAAAGCTACCTGTTCGTCTCTCAAGCGGGCCTATGTAATTATCCAAACCAGCAGCACTTGAGACCACTTGCACCTCCCCAGCCTAGTTCCACAAGTTCACAACCCAGACTGGCCCCGCACCCCAGGGTTGGACACTTCCCTCCCAGTGAGGCCTTTCTCATTACCTAGAGCCAGCGCTGAATCACCCAGGTGCTATGAATAGACTGGGGCCCTGGGAGCTCACTGTGGAGGATCCTTCTGAACCATAGGGAGGCAGTGACCACGGGAAAGCCCCTCCAGAGGAGCCCTTGGAGCCACCTCTCTGGGCCACACCTCACCACCTGTCCCCTCCTCCTCCAGCGGTTCCAGTTTGTGGAGGTCCCAGGCAATCACTACGTCCACTTGAACCAACCCAACCACGTGGCCAGTGTCATCAGCTCCTTCTTACAGAGCAGGGACAAGATCCCAGCCTCACCGTAGCCCTGGGCCTGGGGCTACTGAGAGCTTGTGCTCTCTGCTCACCTCCGATGCCAGCTCCCAGAGCCCCGCCAGGCCAGGAGCAGGGGACAGCATGAGGTGGCAGAGTGGAAGGGTGGCGGTGAGATTTTTGTCTCCAACATATGTGACTTCACAGAGGAGACCATGTCTGATGAAAGGGCTGGGACAGGCCTAGCCCTGACCGCAGCGATCTCCTGCTGCCCGAGTGGACGAAGAATAAACTGTTCTGTATCCTCGCACTGCTTCTGGGCTTTTCCAATGAGGAAAGGGGACAATGCAGCAGACACTTGACTTTCCAAGGGGGATCCAGTGACAGGCTGGGAAGAGACCAGGAGCAGGAAGGAACCACCACTTCCTGGGCTGGTGGCTTCGTGAGGGCCAAGTCCTCATGGGCAGGCCTCACCAGCGCTGGGATGGGGACTGCTGGAGCACGAGCATCGAGGGGTGACCTGTCCTTCACCCCACTGTGCGTGGGCTCAGGTTTCTGGTGCTGTTTTATGTGGCAGGCCCTTGGCCTGGGCAGTCTGGTGAGCATCCATGCCTCCATGTCCTCACTGGCCAGCCTCCACCACCCAGAGTCTGTGCCGGCTCAGTAGGGACGGAATTTGCGCTGGGCCCGCATCAGTTCAATCCTCTGCTTGTCCTCCTCGAATTTCTTGCGCAGCTGTGCTAGATCTGGGCCACGAGGGGGGGGGGGGGCAGCAGGGTCAGACAATGTGCCCTGTGGGGGCTGTGCCCCACTGGCCCCCACTAGACAGTCCACTAGGCCCTTCCCCACCATTCCCACTCGCAGCTGGGGAGCTCCACACTGCCTCCCGCCTCTTGTCTAGATGCTGCAAAGAAACAACCGGACTCGGGCCCAGTCAGAGGGCGGAGGCTGACAGGCAAAACAGCACACGTGCACATAAGCACGCACGCACCCACCTCTGCAGTCTGGCTCCGGCACTAACTGCTCAGGGGTCTGGCTGTGGGCCCTACATCCCAGGCACCTGTACTGCCCTAAATAACCCAGGACCCCCCACAGCAATCTCTGGGGAACAACACACAGGTGCTGCAGGGCTAGGACCCCCAACCCCAACGCCTGTTGGGAAGTCTGGGCCTAAGGACACCCTGGCCCAGATCCCAGGTCCAGTGCCTGCTTCTGGGGCTCTGTGCTGTCCACAGGGCTAGGGGCCGGCGGGCGGGCTGGGGGCACGCTCTTACGCTCCATCTTGGTCTCGCGGTGCTGCCAGGCGTAGAAGTTGAGCAGCTCCTTGCGGGCACGCTTCCTCTTCTCCCTCTCCAGCACCCGCAGGCTGGCTGCCTCCGTCCGTGGGAGCACAGGCCGCCGGCCACGACGGGTCACCTTCACCCAGCCCTCATCATCTGGGACCCCTTCCTCCTCCTTGGCCTTAGCTTCCTCCTACAAGGAACATGACCCTGTGATGGTGCTAGGGACCCACCCTGTAGCCTCAAGAGCATCTCTCACTCACCCTCCCTCCACTTGATGCTTCCCCTGCCCCACACACCCAGAAACTGGGCACCCAATGGCACCTGCTGCTCCCTCCACCCCCAGCAGTGTTGGTGCCTCAACTGGAGGGTGTGAACAGACATGCAGTTGCTGCCTCCTCCTGCGACCTCGGACAGTTGTCCTCTACAGACTCAGAGACTAGACGTCGCCGATCAGGTGACCCAGGACTCCAGGGAAAAAGGGAGTCTGCACTCTGCATGGTGCCCAGGTCAGGCTGTCAGTTCCCGCCCCTCGGGAGCCACGCGACACCTGTGGTACCACCTTCACCACAGCGACTCTATGGAAACCCTACCTCGGCTATCTTCTTGTCATACGCCTCCATGAACGTGTCCACTTCAACCCTCAGGGCCTCTGGGTCCTGCACGGAGTCCGCATAGTCACTGATCCACTCTGAGCGAGAAGGGAGTGAGGGAAACGGGCTTCCTCAGGCCGACACTCAGGGCCCCACCCCAGGATCTGCTGGGCCACAGGCATGGAGACTGGCCCAAGGTTTAGGCTATAAGGAAGGTCCTAGCAATGGCAAGCTGGGCCCTCACCTTTGCCCACCCCGAGCGCCAGGCTCAGGTCTCCTACATGCTGCTCTCAGGGTAAGTGAACATGGCAGGCGCTGCCCCCAGATTCCCCCACCAACCCAGGGCCCAGGAAGGAGGCACCCAACCCTCCCGCAGTGCTGACTGTGAATGCCACTCTTCACGGGATGACTCTCTGTTGAGACCAGCAAAGGGCCCTTCAGGGCTAAGGCGGCTGACACCCCATTCGGCTTCTGGAACACCACGTAGGCTACCTGGAACCCCTGAAGGGAGAGAGATGTCACAGTGCTGGGAGCCTTCCAACCCTTCCAGCTGGCACAGGGTTCCACCTGCCTCGGCCTCACTTGTCACTAGGCCAGGGAGACGTGCTGGGCTGTCCCCGACCGTGATGAGAACCAGGAGGTTGTCTGTAATCCAAAGATGTGCTCCTAGTTACCCAACCAGGGGCCTTTTTTCCAGTTACAGGAGGAACTCACGGAAAAGCATGCTCACCCTAGGCCAGGAATGGATGGACACGCAGAGTACACACCAGTTCAATTCCACTATGCTGGGAGGAGGTGGGGGCTCCAGGGACACAGGGCAGTGACAATGGGGCCACAGCCTGAAGAAAAACTGACTGCAGCCAGGAGCTCAGGGAGGCCCCCAGGGCAGGGAGCAGACATGGTCTCTAGCTTTCACCCAGGACAATGGGAAGAGCCAGCAGGAAGCTAAAGGATGAGGCAAGTCTGGGGGAAGGAGTGGAGGCTGTTCGGCAGCCAGCGCTCCTGGACCACACACAGAGGGCTGGCCTAGGGCACAGGGAATGCTCTGAAGTCCCACTGCCACCCAACACCACCTTCCCCAGGCTGGGGACACTGCCCTGGCCCACCCGCGCCCCCATTGCAGCAGACCCCAGCACTTGGAGACTTACCGGAACAGGCTTGGGATGAAAAAACTTCGACTTGGGCTCCTTTGAGCTCTCAGTGAGCTCAGGCTTCCCCTGTAATTCCACTGACTGGACGGGGCCACAGGGGGAGAGGAGGCGGGACAGGCATTCCTGCCAGGCCCAGGAAACTGTGTGAGTGGCTGCAGGGCCCTCTAGAAGCCTCCCTCCACCCCTGGGTCTGGGATCCCTCCTGTGGGCCCAAGCCACGGGCACATGGGGAGGGCCTGGGCAAACCCCGTCTTCCTCATCATGGAAGTCAAAATCCTACCCTCCCAGGGCCTGAGACAACCACTCTGTTAATTTCATGTTAAAAACAAAGAAAAACTAAGGTAGAAAACCCACACCTCCACCGGCACTTGGGAGGAGATGGAGTGTGAGATGGAATTCAGGGATAAGCTTTTTGGCTTTGTGACAGGACCCTGTGGGAAGCCTATGCTCAGGATGTGTTTGGTTTTCTTATCAAAGTGAAAAGGATTTCTCACCTTGAAAGGGCATCTTGCTGAAAGATCAGTCTTTCCTATCAATTTCTCTGGGTAAATGATACCAAAAATGGGATTAGGATGGGCGTCATCCCGTGAACCAAAAGGTTGCCAGTTCAATTCCCGGTCAGGGCACAAGCCCAGGTTGTAAGCTCAACCCCCTGTAGGGGGCGTGCAGGAGGCAGCCTTTTGATGTTTCACTCTCATATCAATGTTTCTCTCTTTCTCTCTCTCTAAAAAATCAATTAAAAAGACTCTTAAAGCCCTGGCTGGTTTGACTCAGCAGTTAGAGCATCAGCCCATGGACCAAAGGACTGCAGGTTTGATCCCCAGCCCTGGTCAAGGCGCATGCAAGAGGCAACCAATCGATGTGTCTCTCTCCCCCTTCCACTCTATCTAAAAATCAATGGAAAAATATCCTCGAGTGAGGATTAACAAAAATCTTAAAAAATAATATATATATATTACAAGAATAGGTAGGGGCATTTTTTTTTAGTCCTCACCCGGGGGGAGGGGGAGAGGGAGAGGGAGAGAAACATCAATGTGAAAGGGACACATAGAATGGCTGCCTCCTGCATGACCCCAACCAGGGCCAGGGACAAATTGCAACTGAGGTACGTGCCCTTGACTGGAATCAAACCCACGACTCCTTGGTCTACAGGCTGACACTCAAACTGCTGAGCCAAACCGGCCAGGGCTGTGGGGACATTTTTGGTGTTATTCTCAAGATTCTGATTTTTTATTCAACAACCAAATTAATTTTTACTACCCGAATCAGCCTTTTTTTTTTTTTTCCTCTTTATTGACTTTTAGAAAGAGTGAGAGAGATAAAAACATTGATGAGAGAGAGAGCCCTGGCCGGTTTGGCTCAGCAATTAAGAGTGTCAGCTTGTGGACCAATGAGTCATGGGTTTGATTCCAGTCAAGGGCATATACCTCAGTTGCAGTTCGTCCCGGCCCTGGTCAGGTTGTGCAGGGGCAACCAGTCATTGTGTCTCTCTCATATCGATGTTTCTCTCTCTCTCCCTTCCTTTCTACCTGAAGATAAATAGAAAAATATCCTCAGGTAAAGATTTAAAACAAAAAACAAAAAATAAAATTTATTTCCCTTCTGTAAAATTACATTATACTAAGTTTAATAGCTTTGTGGAAAAACAGTTGACATGTCTGGCTACATTTAGAAGTAATTTTATTTTCTTACAGTTTTGCTATCTTTTACTATGGACATGCACCACTTTTATAACCAGGGGAAAACAACATGCAATTGAACCAAGTCCAGGTAATAAAAAGCTTTGGGCTCCTTAGAGTTACACTTTAAAAAACATATCTCTAAAAAGCAAATTTCCTACCATGAGAGAGGCTGCCCTCTACATATCTTCCCTTGGGGCTTCAGTGAGCTGTCTCCACCTCACCACCAAGGACCTAGTGGGGCCAATGAAAGCCCAGCTCTTAGAGCCCCACCTGAACCTACGGTTCCCTCCCAGGTACCAGCTCACCTCTGTGCAGTATGGGGGCACATTGAGGACAAAAAGGGTCCTCTTCTGAGGCCAGGAAGACTTGGTGCCTTCTCGAACTCTGTGCTCTCGCACATACAGGTAATGGGAAGCCTGCTGCTTTTCAGAGAACTTGATTGGAATGGCTGGAAGAAAAATGGGATGGCACGCAAGTCAGGTTCAGGCTGCCCCTTTCTAGTCCCATCTGTCTACCACCCACCCACCCACCCTTCACTGAGCCCCTCCTTTGGGAAAGGCCTGTGCAGGTGCTATGCAGTCTAGAGAGTAAATGAGCCAAGAATCTGCCCAGGGGGGGGTCCCTCAGCTGGTGGAGGAAACGGAAGGTAACCAGGCAATTATTATAGGTGGGGCGTTAAACAAGAGGAACGTTTGCTGCTGCTGCTCATGGGGCAAACACCCAAATCCTTACTGTGACTGGAGGCCCGGCTGACCCTGACCACCTCTGTGCACCATCCTCCCCCTATCCTGGCACACCACTCTGTCTTCTCTCTGGTCCTCCAACAAGCCAGGGCCTCCACACGCCGTTCCCTTTACCTGGGAGACCAACCCTCTTCTCTCCCCCCGTTCGTTCTTCAAGGTTCCACTTCGCTTCCCCAGGGGAGCCTTACATGCCAGGTGAGAGACCCCTGTTCTGTGCCTTCATCACTTCTCTTAGGGTCTTCAGTCTGTATTTGTATGATTATCTGTCTACTCGCTCACATCCCCACACTTTTTAATCCTCATAAAATGAGAGGCTGTTTTGCTGCTCTCCCCACCTTCTTCGGGGTACAGTGGGGATACAGCTGCAGCCCTGCACTCAGGACGCTCGCACGGTAGAGGGGAAGACAGCCAACACATAAGCATGAAACGAGACTGTTGAAGCACGAAAGGAACGGGGCGAGGCAGTGCGGGGGGTGAGCGGCAGGGGCCTCTGGACACCATCCTGGGCTCTTTGAGGAAGGTCCGGCACAGCCGTGGGGCGAACTGAGACGAGGCCACAGTAAGTGCAAGCGCCGCGGGGTGAGGGGCGCAGCCGGCCGGGGCGTAAGGCCAGCAGCGGCCGGAACACGTGGGGCCCCGCGGTCAGCGGAAACCAGGTCGGTGGTGCTGTGGGCGCGAACCTTAGGCCCTGGGGCGTTCGGAGGGCATGGGCGGCGGAGGCGGGCTGCGAGGCAGCACCTGTTTAAACCTGACTCGGAAGAACAAGCCGGCGGCTGGGGCAGCGCAGACCAGGAGCAGCAGGTAGAAGGGCGCAGCGCTGCCCAGCGGCGCGCTGGTGGCGGCGGACGAGGGGCTGCGCGCGGGGGCAGCTGTAGGAGGACACGCCCGAGGGGCACCGGGGCCGAGGCGGTTCACCCAAGGGAAGTGCTGGCCAAAGTGGGCTCGTCCCGGGAGTCTCGCTGGACGACAGCAAGGCGCCGCGTGGGTCCGGGGGGGACCCGGGGCCTCACGACCTGCCGATGCCCCCGCCGACCCCCGAGCCGCCGCCGGGCGAAGCCTGGCCGTACCCGGCCCCGAGTCCCCCACCTGCCCCGCCGCGCTTCCCCTGCCCCGCGGCCCCTCACCTGCCCCGCAGCCCCTCACCTGAGTAGCCCGGCGGGCTCGGAACCTCCTCGGCGTTCCTTGCCGCACGCTTCCTCCGGCGCGCCACCATCTTGCCGACCGGAAGCCGCGCGGGCCGCTGGGAGTTGTAGTAGAAGCTGGGAGCCGCGCGTTTCCATGGCAACAGCACCACGTGGGATTCCCGCCCTCTCCATTCCAGGCCTGTTTGCAGGCCCGGATCACTCCAGTGCCCAACCCTCGTTTACTCACAATAAAGTCAGCGCATAATGTGGGGGTAAATGAAGGCGTAGAGGGGGCCGTTCACCGGCGCGAACTCAACCTCCCGTTCATTCCTTCACTCGCTCCTGCCTTCATCCATTGCACAAAGCCAGTGAATGTTCTAGGCACTATCCTACGCGTAGAGACACAGACGTGAAATAAAATCCAGCCTTCCTGGAGTTTATAGTGTAATGAGGGAAAGAAACAATAAATACACATATGCAAAATACAAAACATATGCATCAATGCAAAGTGCTGAAGAGAAAAATGAAGGAGGAGGGGGAGTGTGGTGAGGGGAGGTGTTGCCGTTTTGAAGAAGGTGAAGGCTTCATTGAAGAGACATTTGAACAAATATTTGAAGGAGGTGAGGGAGCAAGACATTCAATGTCTGGGGAGAAGAGTATTCGGGGGAGCAGGGGGAGCAAAGGCTGAGAGGCTGGAGCCTGCCTGGTGTGGTAGAGAAACAGCAAGGAGACTGTGGCTGCAGCACGGGAGCCTGAGGAAGAACCTGAGGGGCCAGAGCCTGGTGCACCCTGTAGGGTCCGGTAGACCACCAGGAGCACTTTGTTACTCTGTCTGTGTGTAATGGGGCCACTGTGGGATTTTGAGCAGAAAGGAGTGAGGTGTAAATAGTTGTTTGGCTGTTCCATTGCAATTAGACTTGGAGGGCAAGGGCAGCAGCAGGATCATGTAGGTCACCATTGCAATAACCCAGAGGAAAGATGGTGGCTTGGTCACTAGCGAAGTGGCAGTGGAGGTGATGAGAGGCGGTCAGATTCTGGGTATGTTTTGAAGAATTCCGATAGGATTTGCTGACAGACTGGATATGCAATGTGAGAGAAAAAGGGAAATCCAGGACGACTGCTAGTTTCGGTGTCCTTGCAACTAGAAGGATGGTGTTGTCATTTAGTGTTCCACCTGTGCCCATCCAAGTGCAGAGAGACGAGTCTTAGCAATGTAATGACTCAGCACAAGTGTTACCATCACACCTTCCAGCCAACTGTTGCTCCAGAACCGAACTGCTTAGAATGATAGCCATTTTATTATATCCCGCAATTTTGTGAGTTAGGAATTTGGGCAGGGCTCAGCTAGATGATTCCTTTACTCCACGAAGTATTGCCGAGGTCACTCCGTATTCAACTAGTATATGGGCTGGTCAGCTTCACTCACATGGCTGGTACCTTAGCAGGATGGCTGGCAGGCTGGGCTCATGTGGGACCGTGAACTAGAGCACCTACCCATGCTTTCCCAGTAGGTGATCTCAGTAGTCAGTCCTCTTATGTGGTGGCTCAAGGCCCCCACAGAGACAGGAAGTGGGGAACCTGCCAGTCTTTCGATGTCTGGGCTCAGAAGCTGGCTGAGTCATGTCTGGCTGAAGCAGTAACAGGGCCCAAACTCACCTGAGGACATTTTTTTTCATTTTTTATTCAGATAGAGTGGGAGGGAGAGAGAGGAAGAGGGAGAAACATCTTCGTGAAAGGGACATATTGAGTGGCTGCCACCCACACGACCCAACCAGGGCCGGGGACAAACTGCAACCGAGGTACATGCCCTTAGCGGGGGCCGAACCCTGGTCTCTCTGGACCGCAGGCCAACGCTCTAACCGCTGAGCCAAACCAGCCAGGGCACAAACCCACCTCTTAAAGGGAGAATGTCAAATAATTGCAGGCATCCTGACCCACCACACCTCCCCAGTCACCATCAGCCACTGGTCTTTGTTGCCATCTGGCTGGCAAGTCTTCCTAATCCAGAATGGAATTCTGAGGATCTCCTAGGCTCCCTTTGGTACCAACTGTTTTAAAGTGGTTCTCCCACCAGCAAGCAGATGTTGGGACAAGGTTTCAGGCACAAGTCGTTCACTGGGTAGGGGATCCAAGGAGACACCACTGAGGGAATTTGATGCATGGCTAAGAGTTCCAGTACTCCACCTGTGTAGGCTGATAGCCTGGACACCACTCCCTCTTCAGTCTTTGAAATCCAGTAACAAATGCCTTTAGGGAACATTTGAGATTGTGTTTCCTGGCAAGCCATCAGTTTGGCTCAAATAAACTCATTAGAACAAACACCTTTAGGGCAGCTCTAGCTTCACTGCTAACCTAACATTCCAGTGTTAAGAGTCCTCATTTTTGTACTTGGAGACATTCTTATTTTCATGGGAGCACAGCTGTGAAAGGAAGGTTGCTTGTTAGGCGAAGAGTTTCTAGGTGTTTTATAAGGGGAGGGTTTCCCACACTACTTAGTTCTTCTCATTGCTGGAAGCGAAGGTGCTATAACATCAGCTCGGAATGGTCTCCGTGGGAGGTTTTTTGCACAGATGGCCACCAACGATCCCTGCCATCTGTGGACATGCACGCACTCCTTCCACAGAGGTGCAGTCTACGTGCCCTCCTGAATATGGCCAATCTTGGGACTTGCTTTGACAACAGAATGTGACAGAAGTCATATACTTGTGCTGGCATGTTTATAACCCCATAATTGATGATTGGTTAATTACTGTGCTGCTCCATAATTGATGATTGGGAAAGTCACTGTATGCCCTCTAGCTGAACCTGTTTAGTCAAAATAACCTCAGTAAATTGGAATATTCCCTGAACCAAGAAATTGTTGGGAGCCGGCTACCTGTCTAACAGAGTCCATGGAGCCTGGAGGTCTTGAGTCAGAGACTCAACCTCCCTCACAATCTCAAGAATTAGGCTTGCGTTGTGTTTGTACAGCTCGGGGCTAGGTGTGACCCAATGGACCTTGAAATACTTGGGTGTTCCTGTTATCCTCAAGGCAAACTAATTCTGTACAGCACTGTTGTAGCCCTGGGCATTATAGCAAGAAGTCCCTATTTGCTGTAAGGTATAAAAGGCATGTAATAGAGCATACCGGGGCTGATTCCGAAGACTCTGTCACAGGGGTGTTTGGAATCAGACACCAGCCGGTTAATAAATGGCTCTTATTTGGACTTTAATTCTCTAGTGGTCTGTCGCACCACACCACCAGGTGAACTGATGAAATGAGGGGCTGCGCGCCTCACACCGTGTGGACTAGAGATCAGCTGTCTCTGCTGAGCCCTGCCCAAATGGCAGGAAAGTGAGAAAATAAATTATTTTTGTTGTCTTGTCACTTTATGACAGCTTTATTGAGATGTAAATCACATATCAAATGAACTGTTTTAAAGTTGAGTAGATTTACAAGGTTGTGTCACCATTACCACTAATTCTGGGGCATTTCCAGGTGTCCTAAAAAGAAACCCCATACTTACTAGCAATCCCTCTCCATCCCTATTCTTCCAGCCCTCGTAGCCACTTGTCTAGCTTTCTGTCTGTGGACTCACCTGTTCTGAACGTTTCCTATATATGGAATCACACAGTGTGTGTTCATTCATGTTGTAGCTTGTATCAGTACTCATTTTGTTTGTTTGTTTGTTTAACTATGGTAAAAAATGTACATAAATTTACCATTTTAACTATTTTTTAAAAAATATATTTCATTGACTTTTCAGAGAGAGAAACATCGATCGGCCGCCTCCTGCACGCCCCCTACCGGGCATCAAGCCCACAACTCTGGTGTGTGCCCTGCCTGACTGACAATCGAACCAGGACCTCTCAGTCTATGGGACGATGCTCAATCCACTGAGCTACACTGGCAAGGTTGTTTTTATTGATTTTAGAGAGGAAGGGAGAGGAAGAGAGATAGAAACATTGATTGGCTGCCTCCTGCACACCCTCTACTGGGGACCAAGCCTACAATTCTGGCATGTGCCCTGACCAGGAATTGAACCTGCGACCTCTCAGTGCATGGTATGATGCTCAACCACCTGAGCCACACCAGCCAGGGCCATTTTAACTATTTTTAAGTGTACAGTTCAGTGGCATTAAGTACATTCACATTTTTGTGACAATGTCCTCATCGTCCATCTCCAGAATTTTTTCATTGTCCCAAACTGAAACTGTTTTGCCCTCCCCCAGCCTCTTGTAACCACCATTCTACTTTGTGTGAATTTGGCTATATTAGGGACCTAGTCTAAATGGAATCATACCGTCCTTGTCCTTTTGTGTCTGACTTATTTAGTATGTTTTCAAGGTTCATCCACGCTGTAGCATGTATCATAATTTTCTTCAAGGCTGAATAATATTCCGTTGCATGTGTGAATGAAAAAGGGGCTATGAAGTAAATCTGACAAGCTCAGTGACCGAAAGTAACTCCAGAGGGTGATCTGATCATAAATTCCTAAGTGGGCAGGTCATGGCAGGTATGCCCCAGGCCTAGCTTCCTTAGTAAAAGGTTTATATTTGCCTTAAGCTAGCCCTGTCTGTCGTTCTTGTGCATCTAGGTTGACAGGCCTTTGAAATGAGAGTAATCCTCTTTTCCAGGCCCCTCAAGGGAGCACATGATCTTATTACCAGTTCATCCCTATATATTGTAAACGTTTTTTCCTTTTCCTTTTCATTCAGTCCTAGGGCTTTCCTGCTTTGCTCTCTTCCCCTCCCTAATCAACGTGAGTGGACTTCATGTAATCTCTCCTGGGTCTCCTCCTTTGACTCCAAATGCATGAAGGGAACCGCCACACTGTCATTGTCTGGAGAATTTTCTCAGTCTGTTGAGAGCTTGCTTCTGGGCATATCCGCAGTTTGGCTCAAATAACCGCTAATAAACTCATAACATTTTCTATAGATTTGGACATTCTTAACATCCACACATGTACAGACCACGTTGTATTTGTCCATTCATCTGTCAGTGGACACCGGGGTTGTCTGTCCTTTTGGCTACGATGAATAATGTTGCTATGATCGTTTGTGTACAAGTTTTGTAAAGGCATGTTTTAATTTCTCTTGGGTATAGATCTAGGAGTGAA